TCTGAAGCGAAAAGGCAGCTAATGGTGCAGTGTTATGTCTATTGTGCATTGCAGGCGGGGTCTCGGTCTTCTGCCGAGAGGGAAGTCTGCTGTTGTGAGCTGGAAGGAGGGATGCAAAAAGCATTAGTGCTTCCTTAATAAGAGAGCAAGGGATGGCTGGACTTTGTAACTTAAAACAAAAGGGCAATTGTTCTTGAGCACTGAGTCTTAAAGGTTCTCTCAAGATGGCAGCAGGTCAGTTTTAATCTCTGCCCCAGAGTAATGCAGACAAATCTGGCTGTGCCCTGGTGCCAGGCTTGCGATTGTGCACTGGTCACCTGTGGGGGCGGGGGTGGATCTGATTGCCAGCTGGTCCCTGTACCTTGTGTCTGCTCTGTGCTCCAGCATCAAGCCCCAGCTGTGCCACCCTTCTGACTGCAAGGAGGTGACTGCTCTATCACCAGTAGGATGCGCTGTAGGCATGTCTAAGGGTCCTTCAAAATGCATGTGATGGTAACACTTAGCTCTTGCCTACCACTTTTCATCTGTAGCTCTTCCAGCACTTTACAAAGGCAGTTGGTATCATTATCCCCCTTTTACAGATGGGGAAAACTGAGGCACACAGGTGATGTGACTTGCCGTGGGTAGGCCAGCGGCAGAGTCAGGAATAGAACTCACGTCTCCTGAATCCCTGGCCATTGCTCTAGAGCCCTATCTCATGGCATATTCTCACAGCGGGACTCTGCGTGCTGGGTGTGATCACACGTCAGTCCCAACAGAACATGCCTTGGCTGAACTGAAACAAACCGTTAACACGTAGCTGCGGCTCAGAGTCCCTCGTGCAGCCAGCCATGGAAGCGGTACCGTTGGGCTACCCCCAAAGTGATTTTAATGCATAGTTCAGCTCTGCTGCTGGGCCCAAAGGGGAAAATGACAAGGGTGATGGTTCCCCTAGGCCAGCACGGGGCTTTGGGGAGCTCGGCCGGAGCTGGATCAGAACAGGAGAGGGAGCTCCCTTCAAGCTCTGTCAATTAGGGGATCTAAGAGCAGGAAGGGCAGCCTCGAGGCCTCCACCTTCAAATCTTCCCCGCAGGGCCAGCAATCTGAGGAGGGTGGGCCAGAACATCAGAGCTGAGGGAAATGGGAGGAAGCATCAGGCAGTTCTGCGGCTGTGAGTGACGAGGGAGTTTGAGATGATCGGGGGGAGTGGTGCTCAGCCAGCTCTCTCAGACTAACCCCCCTCCTGGACCTTGGCTCCCCTCTCAGGGCTGTAGGAAGAGGCTCCTCTCAATTGCATGCTGGCGGCAGCTTCTGTGCAAAGTGGAGATGAGGGGTGCAGCAGGGAAAATGGGTGTGTGTGGGCGGGGGGGGGGCTTTGACAGATCTGTCCCCAACTACTGTAGTTTAAAAAAGAAAACTAAAATATAGACAGCCATAAGCCGCCCCCTCCCCTCCTTTCCCTACCAAGAAGTGTGTTGGAAAAAAAAAAAATCACAAAACAATAAAGCAACTGTTCTACAGGAGCCTTCCCTCAGTGAATTTCACTAGGAACAAAAGAAACTACATAAATCAGTAGGCTAAATTTTAACCCTGTCCACTAAGAAAGAGAAACAACAGAGCCCGTTCTCCCCCTTCGAGTTAACAGCGTCCGTCAGCGAGCGTGACGGCCGCTCCGTCGGTTTGATCTGTACTCCGGTGCTGCTGCTGTTTGAGTGTGAGAAAGTTGTGCAGGGGGCGGAGGAGAAAAAAAAAACCCCACCAAGGATTTTTGTTTTGTTTCGTTCCTTCCTCAGTCCAAGAACTTGACGAGAAATGGGTAAGTTGAATGATGAGGTAGTGCCAGGTTCAAGCGTTTTCACTGCTCCTCTTCGGATGACTCCTGCGAAACGTTCACCTCCTCTTCGTCCTTCTGCTGTAAGAGAAGGGAGGAGTGAGGTAGCACCCGGCCAGCCTGGCTCCAGGTCAGCGTAGGAGCATACGCCATGTTTAGTGCACCATTAAAGATACAGCCCTCTTTAGATATGCCCCTTTGATGACTCTGTATGTTTAAAATACTCAAACTCAACGGTCTTTGAGTGGAGCCCTAACCAGATTTAACTTCAAATCAAGCTCCCAAGCGCTGCCAGGCCCAGCCAGGCACTTGGAACTGGCTCCACTCCAAGGCACAGATCCGAACTAGTCCCAGTATTGCCACGGTGACTTTGGGGAAGTCACTCCACCTCTTCGCCCCGGTTTCTGTACCTGGGAAATGGGGATAAGGACACTTGCCGGTCTTTGGAAAGTGCTTTGAGAGCTACAGATTAAAAAGTGAGTGAGCGACAGAGTCACGTAACCAAGGTCGTGTCATACGTGGCGGTGGCTAGCAACTGAACGTGGAAGAATCCTGACGTTCGGCCCCTTGCTCTTAGCATTGGACCATAGCGCCTCTGCCAAGGAGACACCCCAACTTCTGTGCCTCCAACGGGCCCCTGTAATGGATTCTGGTGACCGTCCTCAGGGAGAAGCACCTGCACTGGCTGATGGTGGCAGGGCCAGTCTCAGGTATTAATGTGGTGGTGTGCACCCTGGGGCCCTGGTCCTGAGTAGGTCTTTAGCCTCGGCCATAGCAGAAATACTCAACACCAGTAACTTTCATGGACGTGAATAGCCCAACAAAAAACATATCCACCGGCTAGATGCAATGCTTCCCAGAGGCCACAAGAGGGGACCCCAGTAGCAGCTGGAATCTCAACATGCCTGTTAAGACCAACTGTGCTCTTCCTCCCCCCCTTTTGCAATGGACCTCTGTTTGCCCACTCGGAGAGCAGCACCCTCCCTTGCTCACCCCACCTCCCAAACTTGCAAGGCAGGGGGCACGCGTCAGCACTGCTGGCAGGAACCCCTGGGCTAAGTGCCACAGCGATGGCATGAACCGGAGCGAAGGCATTCCTTGAAACGCACTCCTCCGCCTGGCTCTCTTTAAAGAGACACGCACGCTCTCAAAACAGTCTGAGTCACCCTCACACTCAGCCGTGAGTCAGCAACCTCCACTTCCTCGCGTTTCATTCATAAAAAAATAAACCATTGAAGCCGGCACGGAAAGCGGCTGCCAATTCCATACAAAGTGTTCCAGTGACACAGACCTTCTCACTTAGCGAAGGAAGGAAGTGAGGGATGGGCCCTGGTTAACCCTTCTCCGCTCCTGGGAAGCGGATCGTGGTTAACCAGCATGCCAGGGCAACCCAGAATAGAAAAAGGGGTTTGGCAGCCCCACCTGGGGACCGAGGAAACCGGCTAGAAAATCCTGCAGCTGTATGAACCCAAGGCCCTGCTCGCAGACTGAGCTGTTTTCAGTGTAGACATTGGTTTCGCTTGGAGAATTTCAGGTGTTTAGGTAACAGCTCCCCCGGGGAGCCTGCAAAGGAATTTGCAGATTTCAGAGCCAAAGACACTGTAAAAATAATTTGAGGTGAGCTTGGTGGATCACTGGATGATTACCTGTTCTGTTCCTTCCCTCTGAAGCACCTGGCAGTGGAAAACAGAATCCTGGACTAGACGGACCTTGGGTCTGACCCAGTGTGGCCGTTCTTACGTTTGTTCTAGAACACTAGTGAGTCAGGGATTGTGCAAGTTCCAGTGATGCAGCTTTGCACTAGACTCCTGCAGTGCCAGCCCAGCCCCCAGCTGCTCTTGCTAGGGCAAAGCACCCCAATCCCCTCCCTTCACCACACAGGAATGCTGGGGACGCTTGTGTAGTCTGCGTTGTGCAGGAGACCAGACTCGATCATAACAGTCCCCTGTGGTTTTATGAATGCACCTCAATCTAGATCTGAAGCCCACCCTTTGCTGTTCCCATCTCGGGCCTCATTCAGCCAGGGATGGTTCTAGAATTTGGCAAGACAGGCATTTTTCTACCAGACAGGCCTAGAACAAGTCTTCCCCTCTTGCTATCCAAGCTGGGATTTGAACCTACGTCTTGAAGAGCGAGCGGCCAAGTGCACTGTGCACCATGTATGTTGTTATCCCTTGTCTGAGTTTCCAGACAAACTCCCTTCAAAGCTGCATTTAGGAGACCCCTCCAAATCTGGTGGCAAGCGGCAGCATCTCGCAGCATTGGTGCAGGATATTGGAAAGCAACTATCCAGGCTTCCTCCCCTTCTCTGGATGTGGGGTCACTACAGCCAACCAGCAGCAGGTGAGCATGGCACGTTTAGCAAGGATGCTTCTGCCAAGGGCTGAGGTTGCAACTTGCTGAGCCTGAGGTGGGTGGGTAGGGATCTGCTATGCAATGTGACCTTGACAGCAGCCTAATGCTTTGCTTGAATGGAGTTACACCAGGGAGGAATTTACGGGGTGTACAAAGAAAGGGAAAACTCAAGGTGGTGGCTGGAGACAGCAAAGACTGAAATTCTCAGGGGGCTGGTGGGATGCAGGGGAACCCGTAGGGCAGTTAGGGGAAGGTGGGAGGAATCCAAGTACTGTTTACAGGGTGCCCCAAATTGCCAGGCTATCCAAGCTGGCTGTACAAGGGGATCCAGCGGAAGAGGCAGGCAGTGCCGCCTTAACCTGGAGAGAAGCAAGAAAACCATGGTTCTGCAGAGCTCCTGAAGCCAGCAGAGTGCTCCCTAGGGCAGCAGATAGCAGTTTACAGCAGGGGAAGGGTGGGGCTGCTGCAGTAGCTTATCGCTGCTGGGGTGGGGCGGGGTGCTGCTGGGGGAAGCTCAGACTGCCAGGCTCTGCAGGAGGGTCTGTGACAGCCAGAGAACCTCGGTGGCTGGGAAAGGGAAGAAAGAGGAGCAACATATGGGGGCAGAGGGAATTTGCTGCACACTCACTCTGCAGGAATGCCACCCTGGTAACACACCACAAAGCCTTGGGCAGGCCTGTGCCAGCTAGCTGAAGAGAACAAGCCACTTCCTGTTAGTCACTCTGGGGAGCAGGGAAAGAACACTGAGCTAATTACAGCCATTTAGAGTTGTCATGGACCACGGAGAGGTGGATTACCACCTACTGTATTACAGTTTACCTCCCAGGAACCCTGTGGCACGGAGACACTCATCCCCTCGCTGTACTCCCCCGGGCGTCATCCGGCACCAGGATGTGACTGTCCCCTCGACTACAGTACATTGCATCACACCCCTAAGGTGTATCACAGCGCGGCTTCCAAGGACATCTGGCACGGACGCAGGACTGCGACCCTTCTGCTAATTCAATGCCACAGCCCTAGGAACTTCCAGCCCCGAGATTAGGTTGCATCCCCCCTGCTATATTTTAGCACAGGTCCTGAGGAGCTTCCAGTATCAAGACACAACCACATGCCCTCTGCTCGGTTAGAGCACAGCCTGTGCTGCCAATGTCCAGCACAGAGATGCAGCTCCTTGCATCTCAGCCCCTTCCACTCTCTGTGGTGCTGCTGTGGTTGCAAAGTAGTCGAATGAGCGTGGGACCACGTCGAACCGCATGGTTCTCATGGAAATTCACAACGACAGAAGAGACAGATCTCAGGCCCAGCTTTCGGTGCAAAAGGAGAATTCCTATCAGCAGTACAACGGCTATGGCATGGAGTGCAGCAGTTTGCGAGCACTGATATCCATGCAGACTAGCCAGGGTCAGTACATGCATTAGCCCACCACCACCTGGAAAGCCCCAAGAATAGAGACCAGCTTTTCTTACAGCGCAGAGGTGAAGCCATCCAGCTGCAGTGTGGAATACCCGGACTGCAGTCACTGTGATTCCTCCAGGGCACAAGAGGCTCAGCTGAGTTTCCTGCTACTCCTCTTGATCCCACCCCCCTCAAGACTGGCTTCCTCCCTGCAAGAAGCAGGCCTCTTTCCCCACCTTGCATCTGTGCAAGGGCCTGATCCTGTGGGGTGCTGCATACTCTCCATTCACTGGGAGCAGAGAGGGCTCAGCACCTGGCAGAATTGGGCCTCGGAGAACTATTAGGATAGGAAGGTTCCACTTACCGATTTTTTGGGCCGGCCTCGAGGTTTCCTCCCAGGTGTTACTGCAGCTTTCTAAAAACAGAGAGAACTTTTAAATCCACAGAGGGGACCGAAGAAACACCCCCTCATCGTCTCCTTCCCTGGAAATCTTTGATTTCTATTGTCTTCTAGGTCAGGTGTCTTCTAGCTCACCTTGTCAAACTCACATGAGTGGCAGTTCTCAGGCTGCCCTTTGGCTGCTGGACATAAAGATGGCCCACGGGGCTAGATTCCCCCCCCCCCCCCCCCAATCAGAGTTATTTTCCAGCATGCAATGGCCAGGCCAGCCCCATGACTCAGAGAAATTTGCAGGATATGAGTCGCGTGTTTTCAAAACAGCTTTAAAACACAAACACACACACATATCACACGAACCTTCTGTATATCTCTACCCCTCCCTTCCCAGCGATGTCTCATACTCTGTCATTTATACAGTCTGTCCTCAAAGACTTCCTGGGGGGCCGGGTGGGGGCCTGAAGGGAGCTGGTAACCTCATCCCCCTCCCTAACACACACACGACCCTGGGAGAACCAGCACGCTGCTGCTAGGTCACTGCTGCCACAGATTCCTCCCTAAGTATCACCTTAGCTATAAGACTTTGTCCTTCTATGAAGCAAGGATCTCAAAACCTTCCACCCACCTCCTGCCAGTCCTTTCTGATGGGTATCCTTATTCCCATCTTACAGGTGGGCAAACTGAGGCACAGGAGAAAGTGACTTGTCCAAGGTCCCACACAGTAGAGTCTGGGTCTGGATGGATGTGCTCAGAAAGGAGCCTCCTCCTATCCTCTGCCCCACACAATTCCTTTGGGGCCCGTCCACCGTTTGCAGCTGGCTAGAATAATGGTGGGATGCTCAAGGCTGCCGTTAAACAGAAGATGGGGTGTGATGTGAGCCCTCCCCTCGTCCAACTGATCGCAGCCCAGAGTCTATAGTAAGATTTCCCTGCTCCACCCCCACTTTCCTCCCTGCAGAAGGTCCTGATCTTTCCTGCCCAGCCTTGGCCATGCAAACCACAGCTGCCTCGGTGCTGCTCCTGCCGACACTGAGAAACAAAATGTCACCAGCTGTCCCACTTGGATGCAAACGGCTTCACGTGACGAGTCCAAGGGACCCTCGTGTTCCTCCACCCGCCATCTCTCCACACAAGCATCAGTGATCATTGACTTCCTTGAATGAGGAGTTCACGGGGTCTGTATTGGTGATGGCAGGGGCGGGGAGGGGGGTAGGGAGCACCTAGGTTCCTCCCTGCAAAAATCTGGGTGCCCATCTGTCTGGTCCAAACCCTGTCTGTCTGCACAGCTGGGCTAGAAATCTCACCACTGAGCCCAGTGCGTGCGTGTGGGAAGTTCCGTCACCTCCAGCTTCCCAGAACAGAAATCCTGTGGATGCCAAGAAATCCAAGGGAGAGGGACATCTTGTGACCAGACACCCCCAGGCTCCCAGTGCCCAAATGCCAAGGAGTCACTTCAATCTTAAATGGCCATTAAGAAGCAGTGGATGGGGAAGGTCATGTGGTTTTCCCCCTCCCACCCCATACCTACCCTGCCTTTAGAAGTGGCCTTATTTTTGCTCCCCTTTGGTCTGCCACGTGGTCTCTTGGGGGTTGGTGCCTCGCTGGGTTCCTGCTGGAGACAAAGGACAGGACTTGTCAGCAGACACCCAGATCTGCAGTGATCAGTGCTGAGAGGCAGGGCTGGGACAAGCATAGCCCGTTCACAGCCCACTTGCCCATCCAAGTGGGATCTCACTGCACCCAAGAGCAGGAAGGAATCCCAGCAAAACAAAATAAATCGGAGTCCTGGCATGCATGCCACAGGGCCTGTGTTATGGAAATGCCCACAGCACGGCACTGCACCCACCCCCCTCAATCTTAATACACAGATGCCAACGAAAACACCTGGCTAGTGTTTGCATTGCAGCAGAGGCAGATCAAGAAGGAACAATGCATGCTGGGACCTGTAGTTTCCAAGGGCTGTGGGAATTCAAAGCGAACGGATGGCCACAGAGGGCCTGCACTTAGACTAGCTCTGCTTTCAGTGACGCACTCTGCTGTGGACAGAATGCACCTGTCACGCTGCGCCCAGGAGGGATGTGGGACAAAGCATACGGGGGCTACCTGGACTTCTGATGGAACGGGCCATTGGTGAAAGGAGGAGGAAAGGCATGACCCTTCCGAGAAGAGGCTGCTTTTCCTCCCAGATTTGGAGACGCAAGAGAGAACGCCATGGGCCTGATTTTTGGAGCGGGCACTGGGATGTCTCCCTTTAACAATAAAACAGTTAACCCAAGAGCCCATAGCCCAGGAAAGAGCACCCTGAAATTTCGACACCTGGAGACTCATACAAAAAACAATCTTGTGAATTATGCATTATTCTGGTGTCACCGCTACAGTTCTAATACCCAGGCACTTTCCGTTTATAGCTGCAGCTATTAGCAAACCAGTAATCCAACACCCGCAGCCCTGCCCCCACCTCCACCGAGTGACTGCCTCCCCTCACCAATCCGAGCCCTGCTAGGCAGATATTCCACCAGCCGGAAGAGGAAGGAGGTGGGATCAGCTGGCTCAGGGCAGTTAAAAGATTGATACCAAGGGCCAGTTGCTGATCTTGGTTAGGCTGGTGTCAATGTGGAGAAACTGCAATGGCTGAGAGCAGAGTTGAGCTCCCAAATGAGATGTGCTCACGATTTCTTGTGCTTCCCCAGCTCCCTGGGTTTATGCTTAAGGTAATAATACAACAATAAAGGGAACAGAGGAATGACACTCTCCAGTGGTTAGAACACTAAGTGGGAATTGGGACACCTGGATTCCCTTCCTAGCTTTGCCACTGACTTGCTCTCAAAGCATTTTGCTAAGCAGGGATGTTACAGTGGCAACCACAGGGCATACAGCAAGTCAGTGCCTTTTCGCCTTGCTTTCTAAGTCCTTCTGGAGAGGGCCATTTGGCCCCAGCTTGGAAGCCAGAATTTAATCTTACCTGGCAATAGAGGCTATTGCTTTGCCCTATGCTAGATCTTGGGTATGAAATCTCGATAAGCATCGATTCAGCCCTCTCCGATGTCGGGAGTAGCCTCATTTTGCGGATCACAAGTTAAGAAACTTGTCCAAGGCTGCCACACGTTGTAAGGCAGTGGCGGAGCTGAGGAGAGAACCCAGGATCCCTGACTCCCAGTCCTTTGCTGTAACCACCAGAGGGTGCTAGATGGGTGATGCCTCCCAGGTGGCAAGTCAGTCATGGAGATGCCTCATTTTTTTCCTTTCCGCCCCACAGACCTCCTGTCTGCATGCCTCATAGAACCCCTCTCTAGAAACATTGAAGAAAGCAATTCTCCATACCTGAGGCTTCTTCCTGGGTCGTCCCCGTCCTCTCTTCTCAGACACGTCCTCCTCCTGTTTGGAAGCCAAGGGCTGGCTGGATTTTGCACTAGATTCACTCATCGTCTTTCTTCCAGAGGACAAAAGAAGAAGAAAAAACGGTAAGTACAGAACACTTGTCTAGATGACCCCCGTTCTATAGGTCACAATCATCCCCATAATACTAGTGGGGAAATGGGGGCACAAAGAAGGGAAGGGTCATGTGCATGGTTGATTTAGTTGGTGTTGGTCCTGCTTTGAGCAGGGGATTGGACTAGATGACCACCTGAAGTCTCTTCCAACCCTAATATTCTATGGTGTCCTAGGGAAAGCCACCCAGGTCCTGGCAGTCAGAATTACAAACTGGGGGGGGGGGGTCACTGGCCAGTGCATCTGCCGTGTCCCATCAGACTCTTGCACTCCCCTCCCACTCTCCACCAGTTCTGACCCTTCTTTCCCCACAATGACCTGTGTTGGATCTGTCAGCAATAAGTTTCTTGGGGAGCAGCAGTGCAAGGAGTCTTGGTGTTTCCTTCAGAACATGAAGGTTTTTGTGCCTCGCTCTTTGCCCACCTCTCTGCAAGTACCCAAAATCGGAGGCCCCCTTTGAAAGTCTGGGCCCTGCCATTGCACGTAGTTGTCCACACATCCCACAGCTTAGGTCAGGGTGGGGCGGAACGGCAGGGGTGTCAGGAGTTCAGTGAAGGAGGGAGTGAATTATATACAGTCACCTCCTGCTATGCCTGGTGCTAACCAGCAACCCTTCACTGCATGCACCCTCTAGTTATTTACACAGGTAGAGGAGTGTAAATACACACTTGGACAGAACTACCAGGAAAAGAGCAAGATGCATGAAGTCTATGGAATAGTCTCCCCATGGAAAGTGGCAGGAGCCCCATTGCTTAGGGAACTTTTAAGTAGGCTGCACAGAGTACCCCACCAGGGAATAATCCCACCTTGATAGGGAGATGGTCAAGGTAGGACCTTAAAGGGCTTTTCCAGCTACCAATTCTGCCTTTCAGGCTGATCCTCTGCCTATCGGGTTTTTAATCCATGTTCTGTACAGTGCTTCCCTTTCTTGTCTTGGGAACACTTCCCTAAGGCTCCTGGAGAAGATACTCCAGTGGGCATTTATGCTTCTGTTGTTTGTATTGCTGAACTCAGGGTCCCCACTGTCCTAGGTGTTGTACATGTGCAATAGTAAGAGGGAGTCCCTGCCCTGAATTGCGTACAGCCTAAGACAAGATGGAGAAAAGGAGGATTATTTGCCCCTACTCTGCAGATGGGCAATTGAGGTGTAGAGAGATGAAGAAGCTTGCCCTGGATTGCACACTGAGTAGTCAAGGATCAAATCTTCTAAATCCCAGCCCAGTGCCTTTGCTATAAGACCCACCTTTAGCTCCGCTGTATCTCATGCTGATCCCAAGAATACCTCACCCCAAATGTGGACAGGATCCACACCTTGACCCAGTCAGAGTGCCTGGCTCTTCTGATGCTATCCCGCAGCTCTGTACTGTCCCTCTCAAAGTCACAGGCAGATCTTAAGGCATACAGAGCAAAATGCATCCTGCACTAGCCGTTGTCATCCTGCCAGGCTGAGAAATGGATGGAAGGGGGAGTAAGTTCCAAACTGACATGGTGCTAGGTGCTGTACAGAGACCGTCCCTACCCCAAAACATTTAGTCTGAATCAATTCCCTGCAGCATTGGAGCCAAACTGTACCCTCTGTGGCGGAGCTGTGGGTGGGAGAAGTGGTGCAAAGGTCACCTTGGGGCAGTTGTTAAAGCCAGTCAGAAGGAAGTGCCCCTGGGCAGCCCCAGCTGGCTCCCCTGCGGAGTTCTCATGCTCCTTGTCTCCAGCTGCGGCTCCCAGCACTGGGGGTGGGGGTGGAGCTGGGATTCCCCCGCCCTCCACAGCCGCTGCTCCCCTGCTATCCCTTCCCCCAGCCGTGCAGTGTCCTTCACACTTATTGCATGCACCAAGGACTCCCTGCAACTCCAAATTCTCTGTGTGCCCCCAACCACACTCAACAAAAGAAGTCCATTTTTCTAGCAGTTAAGCCACTAGCCACCAGTGCTCAGAATAACGTCGCCTCCAAGTCAGCAGCGACTAGAATGGGTCCAATTCCAAAAGGATCAGCAGCGTTCAGGAAATAAAACCCACGCCCAACAAAATGACTTCGGGTTCACTAAAACAAGTGACACCAACATCTAAATTAGTTTGTCTGAATAAATCTGTGGCAGAGCAGTCGGCAAACCCATCCCCAACTGATCACAAGGGAAGCCTTAACGTAGTCCATGCGAGACCATCTAGAGTTAATGGACTCCCATCCAGCTCCAGGTAGCTAACACCTTGGCAAAGGTTAATCCGGATACTTTAGAGTAGTAAAAAAGTTTCAAGGACCCTCCTCCCATCTATAAAGAAGGGGTGTTTGCAACCCCCTGAAACCTGTTCACAATCCTCCAATGGAGAACCCATGTCCCAGGAAAACAGGTGCTTAATGATATTAGTTGTCAGCAACTGGATCCCATTCAAATGACGCTGAAAGTTGTGTTCGGAGAGGACAAAGCTCTTTCCAACACCGTTGCATGCCTAAGACAAGCAATGGTCAGTCCCCTCTACCCTCCCAGCTGTAGCAACCGAACAGGGTCCCCTTTGCAGACAATTGCCCTCAGCAACAGGCGGTTTGCTCAAATTCACACCAACAGTTATCGTCCCACGGTGATGGGCACGTAGCCGTCCTCAGCAGGGCTTCACTGCTATAGTCTGAAAGGGCCAAGCTGGGAAGGTCAGATTTCTAAAAAGTTGCATAGTGGGATGAAAGCCCAGGGAAACCACACACACATCCTGAATGCACAGACCTTCTAGGTTTTTAAAACCGTACATATGGGCTCATGTTCAGTTGTGGAAGTGACTCACAAGTAAGTAAACCTCAGAAGCCACAGCCTCATGTAAACACCCCTATGTATTACTCACTACAGCCAAAAGCCCTTCAAGGATTCTCTCCCTCAGAAATATGGTCCCAATGTTTTGGGTTGGGTTTGTTTTTAAGTAAAATTCTTGGCCATTTGGGTATCCAGTTAAGAAGTCAGGACGCTTGTCAAATGTGATACATCCTCTGAGCACTCCCTTCCATCTCTAACAACCTGGGCATGCAGGCGTGGGGAGCACTGGACCCACAACATAGTTCCCTCCGCCCTATGGAAAAGCCCCTCATCCGGGGCTGCATGGGGCAGGGCTCAGCCCTGTAGCAAACAGCCCACTGTGCTAACTCAGGGTTCCTGGTCCCCATTCTGACCCTGTAGCGAGGTTTTTGGCAGAGCTGTGTTGCCATGGAGGGAAGAGAGCCAGGAAGTAGCCTAGAGACACAAACCTCTCAGTAGATGGCCCTACCCTCCAATGGACCCCTTCAAGAGCTGCACGGACCCGTGAGGAAGAGATTTGCAGGTTCTCTGGGCTGAATCCCCTGCCAATTTTTGCAGGGGCCCTAACAGGCAACCTCACTGCAGGATTATGCTGCATTGGGAAATGGCCCTATATCTATGCAGGGATGTGATAGGTCTCTTCCCTGTCTAAGGCAGAGTCTACCCTACAGCCGTGTCACTGTAGTGACGTAGCGTAGCTGTTGCCTGTGTCGATGGAAGAGTTTTCCCCATCAGCATAGTTCATCCACCTCCCCAAGAGGCAGTAGCTGGGTTGAGGGATGAATCCTTCTGTCTACATCTGCATCCCCACCAGGGGTTAGGTTAACCTAACTACATACAGTGCTCTGGGCACACAGTTTTTCACAGCCCCAAGTGAAATAGGTCAACCTAAGTTTTAGGTGCAGACCAGGCCTTAAGCTTATGAAGAGAAGACTTCAGGGGTGTGGGAGGATCTAGTCAGATCACATGGTTGTCTCCCTGCTCTCTGGCCTAACCCTCTGCAGCCAGGGGAGCAGGAAGTTAAAAGCACAGCAGACAGACACAACTGGCTGGCACCTGAGAAAGGGACATGGCATTTGTAAGAACAGCCATACTGGGTCAGACCAAAGGTCCATTTAGCCCAGTATCCGGTCTTCTGACAGTGGCCAGTGCCAGGTGCTCTAGAGGGAAGGAACAGAACAGGTGATCATCAAGTGATCCATCCCGTTGCCCATTCCCAGCTTCTGGCAAACAGAGGCTAGGGACACCATCCCTGCCCATCCTGGCTAATAGCCATGGATGGACCTATCCTCCATGAACTTATCTATTTTTTTGAACCCTGTTGTAGTCTTGGCCTTCACAACATCCTCTGGCAAGGAGTTCCACAGGTTGACTGTGCGTTGTGTGGAAAAAATACTTCCTTGTTTGTTTTAAACCTGCTGCCTATTAATTTTATTTGATGGCCCCTAGTTCCTGTGTTATGAAAAGGAGTAAATAACACTTCCTTATTTACTTTCTCCACACCAGTCATGATTTTATAGACTTCTATCATATCCCCCCTTAGTCATCTCTTTTCCAAGCTGAAAAGTCCCAGTCTTATTAATGTCTCCTCATTTGGAAGCTGTTCATATCCTTAATCTTTGCTTCTCCCCGCAATCTCCACATCTGGGACTGACTTCACAGTTCCTTTGCATCAGCCACTAGCCACCAATCCAAGCCCAATCACCACCTCACAGATTAACAACAAAAGAAAAGCAATATCCACAGGGGAAAATCTCTTGCTTAAATCTCAGTCTCCACACGCCCAAGAAGTCCTGTCAGAGCAGTGTCACAGGGACACCACCCAGAAGACACAGCAGGGCAGTCCCAACAGCAAGGGGATAAAATAAATAAAACCGGTTTTATTTATAAGCACAGGAGGGGCACAGGACAAGAGGCGCATGCAATTCCCTCCCTATGAACTTTACGAACATTCCAAGGGGCTGCTTTGAAGACCCCCCCCACTCTAGGAGAGCAGCCATCCTTTAAAACCAGCATGATAAAAAGCGGGGGACCCCCGGAAGGGACAACACCATAAGCCCTTTGAAGATCTCTGTGTCTTAGAGGTTATAATCAAAACCACCCACAGCGAGAATGGCTTGATTTCAGGAGTAGGGTCTAGACCCCTCCTCAGGGGGGGAAGGAGTGGGAGTGGAAAGAAACCTTGTAAAGTTTACAGTGGGGAAAGCCATCGTATATCTCCCCCATCACCACACCTTTGGATTGCAACTGAGTCTAGCCTCAGCCTAAACGAGACAGAAGGAAAGACCAACAGAACTCTTCTTGTCTGGACCTGTAATGAAACCAAGCCCTGGCCCCCAGCTGGATGGGAAGTCTGGGAGCCAGAGAGAGCCCACAGCTGCTGGAACTGGGGGTGCTGTTGCACCCCCTGACTTGAAGTGGATTCCATCACATACAGGGTTTACAGTTTGGTTCAATAGCTCTCAGCACCCCTACTGTACAAACTGTTCCTGGTAGAGACTCTCACACCTCCAACAACAGCACCTATGGAGAGAGACACACCTTAGCTTCTCCCTGCCCGCTCTCTATTGCCACCCCCCCCCCCCCCCCCGGCCCAACCAAAGACCCCCACCCCCCCAGAAATAAAAAGTACCCCCTTGCTGTACGATCAGCCCACCACAGCATGTCGGGAACATTGCACCCAAAGAAGACAAGCAACCCCTTTACATAATGAACAGCACAGAGCCACAGGAAAGCCCCCGCCCCCCAAAACACACCAGTGGATTTACCACAGTCTCTTCTTGGTTGGAGAGGGGGAGACATGGCTCTGGGATCTGCCCCTTTAAAGGGCCAGGAGGAGGCGGGGTTTCTTGCGAGCCCAATGCACTACCTGCTCTTTGCAAAAGAAATGAAGGAGGGGGGAAAAAAACAAACCCACCCCAGCTCTGCCTGGCTATTGGCAGAAATGCAGGGCAAAAAAAATGAATAAGTGGAGGACAGTGCTGTCGCGCGATTTGAAAATGAAACCGGCTCGGAGTGTGCGTATTTGCAAAGATCGCAAAGGCGGACGGGGGGGGGGGGCGAAACAGGGCAACCAGGAGCAGCACCATCACCCAAGCCAGCCACCATCACCCGAGCCCTGCAGGAGCGAACTCCGCCAGCAACCCGGAGCCGATTGCAAGCTGAGCTCTTTGGCAGGGCACCCCCCCCGCCCGTCGCTGCTGCTCTTCCTTCTCCCCCCCCAGCGCTCAGCTGTTGTCTCCGGAGGGGCTTCCATCCATCAGCTCGGAGACCTGCTGAAGAAATAGCAGTCCCCTCCCCCTCCCAAATCAGGTGCTTTAATAATAATAATAAAAAAAAAAATAAAGAAGGGGGAGGGAAGGTAGCATTGCAAATTCTGCCTACCCCAAGCCCAGCAAAAGCCCTCCCCACTTCCATTCTGCAATGCATGATGAGAAGGAAAGCAAAGGGCATATTTATTCCGCATGCCTTGCTTGCTTCTCTCTGCAAATTCTAAAAACCAGGCTTCATTATTATTATTTGCAATTTGAAAATGATTTTTGCCCCCCCCCCAGGTGCCCACTCGACTACAAAATAATCATCAAAATAAACAAAACACCAACTTACTAACCCCCCTCCCCACCACCTCCACCCAAAACAAAACGGAAAAAAAAAAAAAAAAAAAAAACACACACCCACAATTGCTCCCGATCTCGGATCTGTGTGGTGTGTGTGTTTTTTTTTCCTTGTGTGTCTGTGTTGTGATCAAATTAAACCCAAACCCCCCTTCTGGTTGCTGCTGATTGCAAATGCGGATCTGAAACAAGAAGGCAGGCAAAGCGAGACTCACTCACATACATACACAGACCAGCCAGGGCTCTCTTATTTATATAAATAAAAAAAATTGTTCCAAGAGGAAGGAAGCTGGGTCAAAATCATTTGCACGGGGAGGGGGGGGCGGGGAGGGGGAAATAGGAAAGGGACCAAAAAAAAAAAAAAAACCCCTCCAAGCCTTACTGGAGGGAATCCAGCTGCTAAAAATAGCAAAATCACACTCCAAATTAAATAAGGGCAGGCAGGCTAAGCTAAAGGGAGCTTTAAGCCCTTCCAGTTGAGGGGTGGAGCCCAGCAGAGGCTACGCTACGCCATCACCAGTGGGTGGGGAAGATGCAAAGAAGGGGAAGGGAAGGGTGATTTAAAAGGGCTGCTGTGGTTAAAGCCAATGTTGGAAGGTGGGTGGAAAGTGGGTAAGAGAGAAAAACCAGCAGTAGCGAAAAAGCGGCAAGAACCGCCTCCTCCTCTCCCCCCCCCCAACAAAACAAACCTGGTCAGATGGAGGAGACAAGAAGAGAACTATTTTTCAGAGCTGTCATGTATACATATAAATATTAAAAGAGGGTAGAACCCCCCATTGTTCTTTTGTTTAAAGGAGAAACGATTCCTGTGTAGTTGGGCATCCTGCTGGGGGAAAGGTAGCGTGGGAACCTTGTAGTTCTGAGACCGTGGTGCTGTTGGTTATTTTTTAGAGAGATGCTCGCAAGTAGCTTTGAGCCCCCAGTTTTTAAAACACATTTCCTGTTTTTTTAAATATACAAAATCACTTGGCTCGTGAGCTGGGGCAGGACCTGGTTTTGTTACCTGCTTGTGCACCACAGTTGGGACTGATCCTTGATTGGTGCTCCTAGGCTCTGCTGTAATAGAAATAAATAATTATGAAAGGGATACAGTCAACTTCAACCTGATGGGGATGTGAATATGTTCCCCTACTGCAGTTACTCCTGATTTGCACCAGTGTACGTGAACGAAGAATCAGGGCACTATAGTGTAATGTAGGGAACTTTTTCACAGCATGGGCTGCATATTAATAGATGGTCTTGTGGCCATCTTCCCTTCTATTTGTGATTGTTCAGGCCCACCTCTGACCCATGTTCGCCACTCCATGACATTCTTGTAGTAGTTGCGGCAATTGCTTATGTGGAAAAGTAACAGTAGGAGTGTATTTAATGTATTTTTAGCTTATTTTAATGTGATTTAACAGCTGGAAATAATGAAAAGCCAGCGCCGTGTGACCAGCCCGAACCACCAGCCCCCCACTTTTTTCCCCAGAACCATTGTTGTAAACCACACCCATCTCTTCACCTAGGTTATTATAGCATTAGTCTATTAAAAGTGAAAGAATTTTTAAAATCCAATTCACTTGTCCCCTCTTTATGGTCTGTTTGATTTGCATTTCTCCCAGCTTGGATAATGAAAATGAATTGAATCAGTTTCTCTTTTTCTGAGGGTCATTTCCCCATCCAGGCTCTTACTCCGTCTTTGGGTTTCAAACTCTGCAGTTAGTTTAAAGTTGTTTCATAGATTCATAGATTCTAGGGCTGGAAGGGACCTCGAGAGGTCATCGAGTCCAGTCCCCTGCCCGCATGGCAGGACCAAATACTGTCTAGAACATCCCTGATAGACATTTATCTAACCTACTCTTAAAAATCTCCAGAGATGGAGATTCCACAACCTCCCTAGGCAATTTATTCCAGTGTTTAACCACCCTGACAGTTAGGAACTTTTTCCTAATGTTCAACCTAAACCTCCCTTGCTGCAGTTTAAGCCCATTGCTTCTTGTTCTATCCTTAGAGGCTAAGATGAACAAGTTTTCTCCCTCCTCCTTATGACACCCTTTTAGATACCTGAAAATTGCTATCATGTCCCCTCTCAGTCTTCTCTTTTCCAAACTAAACAAACCCAATTCTTTCAGCCTTCCTTCATAGGTCATGTTCTCTAGACCTTTAATCATTCTTGTTGCTCTTCTCTGGACCCTCTCCAGTTTCTCCACATCTTTCTTGAAATGCGGTGCCCAGAACTGGACACAATATTCCAGTTGAGGCCTAATCAGCGCAGAGTAGAGCGGAAGAATGACTTCTCGTGTCTTGCTCACAATACACCTGTTAATGCATCCCAGAATCACATTTGCTTTTTTTTGCAACAGCATCACACTGTTGACTCATATTTAGCCTGTGGTCCACTATAACCCCTAGGTCCCTTTCTGCAGTACTCCTTCCTAGACAGTCTCTTCCCATTCTGTATGTGTGAAACTGGTTGTTCCTTCCTAAGTGGAGCACTTTGCATTTGTCTTTATTAAACTTCATCCTGTTTAACTCAGACCATTTCTCCAATTTGTCCAGATCATTTTGAATTATAACCCTATCCTGCAAAGCAGTAGCAATCCCTCCCAGTTTGGTATCATCTACAAACTTAATAAGCGTACTTTCTATGCCAATATCTAAGTCGTCGATGAAGATATTGAACAGAGCCGATCCCAAAACAGACCCCTGCGGAACCCCGTTTGTTATACCTTTCCAGCAGGATTGGGAACCATTAATAACAACTCTCTGAGTACGGTTATCCAGCCAGTTATGCACCCACCTTATAGGAGCCCCATCTAAGTTGTATTTGCCTAGTTTATTGATAAGAATATCATATTTCGTTGTCCTGTTATTTTGAAATGGCAGAGCTATTTCTGAGAGCCAAAGTTTTCAAATCTGCATGCCTACAGTTCAGTTCCTAAATAAAGATTTAGGAACCTAAATTGAAGTAGCTGGATTTTCAGACGCGCTGAGTAGCTGCAGCTCTCACCAGGTCTGAGCCTGCAATGAGCTCAGCGTGGCCACAAAGGTTCACCTATGCAAAATTCAGTGCAGGATTAGGGCTATGGATCTGGATGGGAGCTGAGATTCTCAGTATCTCTGGAAATCAGGCCACTCTTATAGGAGGGATAGGATTTTTGGCCAGCGCCTAGCACAGTGGAGTCGTGGTCCCTGACTAGGGCTTCTAGGAACTAATGCAATACAACTATTACTAGTAGTAGTACTTTTCAAAAGTGCATAAACCCTTAAGGAACACAGAGCAGGTTTATTTTAAAGAAACCTAAAGGAGTTAGGTACTGAGATCCCATTGCAATTAAATGGGAGTTGGGTGCTTAACTCTGTCAGACTCCTTTGAAAATTCCAATCACAAGTCAGACTGCACGTCAGTAATGTTCGTTTATCAGTTTGTCACCCTTAGAACCCTGAATGTAGATTTAGGTGCCTAACTTTAGGCACGGACGTCTGACATTTTTAAATTTGGGTAGTATGTTTTTAATAAAAGCTTTTTTTTCCCAATACAAAATTAACATGTTATGCCAAATTGTAAATTGCTCTTATCTTTTGAATAGGATATTTTTCATGACCTTAAGAAAACAAATACATATATGTAATGAAAACAAGCATATCCTGGCTTTTCTGTTTTGATTTAAAAAATCCCCTGCAAATTCCTCTGTATGTTCCTAATTTAAACACACAATATTGTTCCTGGCTGCTGGAAAGTGAAACAGACTAAAAATGAAAGGGAAACTGATTAGTCTATTTTTAATGTTTAGAAAAATGCAGGAAAAAATTAAACAAATGGGACAAATGGAAAAAAGTAAATATTGGGGGTGATTCTCCTCTCAGACCCAGTTTGACACTCGGTGATTCCACTGAATTCAGTGGGGTTATTCCTGATTTACACTGATTTGAGAGAAGAATCAAGCCCACATAATGGTGTTTAATCTCAATTTACACCAATGCAGATGAGACGAGAAGCAAGCCCGCTCTGATGTGCTTTTTGTTTTAAATCTGCTTTTTAATAATATAAAGCTTTAGTAACACAGGTAAGGAACTTAAAAAAAAATACACCTGGTGCTATGCAACAGTAAATAATAAAATCACAATAGAAGTACCAGATCTGATTGCTTTGCAATTTGTGTTATCCTTTACACCTGTGCAAAGTGAGTTTAAAATGCTGCCATTCCGACTGGAGATTTTTTTTAAAAAATGTGTCCTTTCAGGCACTCTCTTTAGATCCAGGAATGTGATTATGGTGTGTGAGTGTGTGTGATGATTTTTTACTCACTTCTATAGTCCATCAATTAATTCATCAAATGGAGACTGTTCAATAATGCATCATGCAGTGTTTTTCTATATATGTTTTTAATTATAGTGATGTCCTGTGGAAAATACAGGATCGTGGAGGAATTCATAGGGTGCTCGTTAAGAGACCTGTAGATTATACGTGACAATGTCAACTACTTAACATAATGTTACAAAATTCTCTATATTGACAACACCCACATGGAAGATTGAAAATAAAAAAGCCATATCTTGCTGTCTGGTTTTAAGCAGAACTCCCTGCTAGAACCAATGCTTAAAAGCCAAAGCATTGTATAGCCCAAAATATATTTTTCACTATTATTTTTGCCATCTGATTTTCATCTTTCCTGAGCTAAAACCAAAAAGACACTGCATTGATAGGCTGTAGGTGTAAGATTTCTGAGGAAAAATAGAAGGGCTTACAAAACCTGATTATAACAAAAATGAGCTCTTTGGAGAACCTGGCTCCATAAAGCAACATTTACAAATATGGATTTAAAACATTTACTTCAAGAGTTTCCAGTCCTTAAATTGCAGCCCTGGGCTACTGCAAAACCAGGAAGTGAAGCTGCCTAGAAACAAAAATGAAAGTGACCCACTTTTCCATAGTCCCAGCTGAGTGAAAGGCAGAAAGTAACTGAGCAGCGTACATTATTAAAGGTATTTTTTAAAAAACCTCCTTTGTTTTAATAATGTCTAGGTACTCCTACTAATGCAGGTAAGGAACTGTTTGTTAGGCAATATTTTTAACCTGATTGTGTCCCTGACTATGTAGCAGAGGTGAAATTATAATGGGATTCTTTCATCAATAGCTTCAGATGACACACAGTGACTCACCATGCCAAAGCACTCTGGGTCATGTGCCTCATCAGTCACCACGACTGTGGGAGGAGTTTCTATCAGAGAGTATGATTTATTAATTATTTGTATTGCAGCATCCAGAGGCCCTAACTGAGATCAGGGCCCCATTGTGCTGAGCACTGT